GAGGGGAGGGGGCGTCTCGTCCCGGGAACCCCGGGGCGAGGAGCGTGTCGCACCCCTGGCCGGGTCCTGTTCCGTACATCGCGCATTCAGCAGAAACGCGGAGGCTATCGCATGCTGTAATTTATTGATGAATCAAGGAGCTACAGCTGAGTCACGAGTTTTAATTAAATCCGCAGAGAGAAAAGAGTTTTCCCTCCCGAAACCTAAACGCTGTCCTGCATGCCGTGCTGCACCGGTGTCTGAAAGCGTTGCCCAGTCACCACCTACGCTAGCACAGGGCAGTGCTGCCGAAGCCCTGCTTTTCCCCGACAGTTTTCCGCGGACTGGGGAGCCACTGCGGCCCCCCGACACAGCCCCGCCTTCCTTGGCTCTCGCTAAAGCAGAGCCCAAGGAAGGGTAAGGTTTTTAACACCTATATTAACCTGATCCTAGATGGTAGCCTAGATACCTAGATGGTATGAGGGTTTACTTTCCAAGACTATTGTACATGGTTGATCGGTTTGGTCTTTCTCTAATTAAATATATATATGTATATCAATCAAAAGAGACAGCTGGAAATACAAAGATGAAACTCCTGAAGGCGTAAAGAAGAAATGAGAAGAGGAAGGCTAGAAGTGCCTTGAAAATCCAGAAGCCTGTTTAAGGAGAAAAAAAGTGTTGATGAGAGTAAACCACCCACAGCACTTGCTACAAGCAGAAACAGAACCTGAACAGCAGTCTTGAAAAAGATACTTAAGATACTTGCATCGATACAGTACATCTTTCTGACACTAAGTCATCTGGTTAGCCACAGAAGAGAAAACAGTTCTACTAAACGTTTTTGTCCAAGGTAATACAAAAAGGCTTACTAGAAAGAAAATTGTTTGTTTGTTTGTTTTTTTTTTGCTGTGCCAAAAGAAAAAAAAAAACTTATTTTGTGATGGCAAAGGTAGTGGATCTACATTTTGTAATGACTTTTTCCACATCATATTTAACTTCTCTGTATAAACCAGATAACTTCTGTCTCACAAGAGCACATCATACTAACTTAGGAAACTTAAGCCACAGAAAGAAATCTTTTATACTTCTTGAACCTGTACTTCTGTACAGCAGATTCCTGTTGGCTCCAGCAATTCTTACTTGCCATTACTGTGATTATTTAAAAAGGAATTTGCTTATCCCTAATTTCACGTTTGGGCAAATACTGCAGTTCTCTAACAGACCAATTTTTGGCATCCAGTTAACAGGGTTTTTATTGCACAGGGATAATGTTTTGAATGCTTACTCTGGTTATAGCTATTTTCTCAGGCTTGTCCGTTCAGGATGATATCATGTCCCACTTCTCTTGCTAAATTAATTGTCTGAATTTTGTTTTTTTTTTACATGGCTGGGTAGGTAAGGATTATGGCTGTGAGCTCATAGAAATAATTTCATTGTTCAGCGATTGTTCAATCCATCTCACTATAGTTTATGCAGAAAATTATTAAAAACTACTTCCTACCCCCAAACATATACAAACAGAAACATGGGGACTAATGTGACACAAATTGCAAACTTTTTTCCTAGGATCCTTCTATTCCTCCCATGCTAATTTATTAAGTATTAATTAGGTCGTGTTTAAAAAGCAAAAACCAAAATTGCTACTAGCCAAATGGTTAGAAAGATTTTTTTTCCTTGTACAGGTTTTTAAATTTTTGAAGGTAGAATGTGCAATGAAATGAAGAGGCACAACGGTTGTTAGTTGTGTGCAGTTGTATCACACATGACTGTGTCTTTTTTGATGGCAAAACAGCATTTCATCCAGGAACTGAGAAGAGCTGAAACAGTGGAAGCAAAATGAGTTTCAAAAGCAGAAATAGTTGTTTGAAACAAACCTCACCCATCATTGCTGCCTGTGCAGTCGAGAATATTTTGCCATTTAAAAACTAGAAAGGATTGCAAAAACTGCTTTTCCTACCCAAGAGGGGGGTAGATTGCCCCTATTTTCCCTCAGGTGCTTTTTTCCTTGCCGAGATACATAAAGGAGCAGTTGTCACCACTTTTCCCGAAATAATAGGTGGCTGGGCTAGCAAGATGGTAGTCAAGTCTCTGGAGAAAGGAAGTGACTCACAGTTGAATTAGGACAAGAAGTTAGGGGACACAAAAGGCAAGAATTAGGTCCTTCAGGGCTGCAAGAAAACGGGAGGAGGAAGAGTAGCTCTGTCAGAAACAAAGCACGGATCTCATCCTCCTCCTTATGATTTGTGGCAAAGAAAGGTGATGTCTGGGTCAGGATTGCTGCTGCTGCGACAACCTCACTCTCCTAGTCTAGTCTGCAGCTATGTTCACCCGGCTGGATTGCACAGCCCTGCTCTAGCTGCAGGCACCCATGGGGAGATTGACATGGAGAAAGTATGCATCTCAGGCCTTCTGTACTGCAGGCTCAGCGACCAAGTAGCTGGCTGTCCCTCATTTAAATGGCGGTATCATAAAAGATGCACGCACCTTGCAGAACAGAGCGACTGGCAGAGAATCCGCATTCATGCGCACAAGATCTTTTATGGTAGCAAAAAGATACACCTTCCCAGGCCGTGGACACCTAAGACATTTGTAAAAGTCAGATGATCTACACCAAAAGCAGTACTACTTGTCACACTGCTAAATACCATCTTAGTTTCAGTTTCACCTTATTCCAAACCCCCCATACCTTGTGGCATACCCTAACACTTACCTATGAGCTGCCATGGAATAGGATGTAAGAGAAAGTCCACACCCAAGAAACGCCATGTTGGATTCTTTTCTTCCCTTCTACAGGAACTTCATCTGGAGAATCTTCTTTGTACATAGGCATTGTGGAAACACAACTTCTGTACATACCATGAGGATGCAGCTGTGGTTTGGGCAGCCAACCACAGCTAGCATTCAGTCTCCCAAGCACAGTACAACAACAGCAGCAAAGACGGGCCAACATGAGTTTTAGGGTATGATTTTCAATCAAAAGCTGTACTTAGTATTATAGTAGACTGGCCCCTTAGCACCTGCCAAACTTGTGCTACTGTGTTGTTTCTGCTATTGTTACTAACGCTAATTAACACTAGCACTGTGTTTGCCCATCACGTTACCATCATCTTACTGTGCAGGCAAGCCCTGCACTCCCAAGGCTGTTGGAAGCCTCATTCCTCTATCAGAATCAATCTAAAAGCCAGTACGACCATTTCAGGGCATGGAGTAGTTCTTTTCCTCATGGAGAGGAAAATTGCTTAGCAAATGACCCAGTGAATTCTTTACAGCTGTGGATGCTAGGCAGCTTTTAGATAAGAGCTCTCAGCAAAAACCACTAGAAGACTCCCAGAAAGTAGGATATTGGAGTCAGTGAAAAGAAACTTGCACAGATTTACAAGGGGAACTTTACATTTAAATTTCTGCACACACAGAACTTTGTCATTTGGGCACAAACTTTGCACATACTTGCCACTTACTATGAATTTTCTGGCTTGTTTACACCCATGTTTACAGTATGTTGAATCATATTATTTGACCCACAATGTTAAAACTGAGCTCTAATTCTTGAATTAAAATTTCTGCAGAAAACTTGGGGGCAGTTTAGAATTGTCAAAGAAACACGCAAACGCAGATTTTAATAGTCTGCATTTAAGTCTTGCTACTTAACTGGAAAGAATTGCCAGAAAGGATTTTGCATTAATGTCAGCCAATTTTTCTAAATTATTGTAAAGACAATTCATCATCCATCCTTCTCACCTCCTTCCAACTTTCAGCAGTCATTGTAAACATTGTTAGGACAGCATAAGCACATGATAGAACACTTTCCTTTTAAGAAAGAATATGGCGTGACTTCATACCTCTATAAACTTAACCATATTTGGTAAAGATTCAGTAAAGGTTTGCATGTTACATAATATTTAGCAGATTGACCTACCACGGAGGTGTCTTAAGACTTAAATGATGTGACCACTATAGGTCCACTAGTAGTCATTTCTGTACATCTTGATGAGCTAAGAAAATTATTCCATCACCCAAATATATATCACTATGATGCAAGACAAGTAGTTCACAATAAACCAATCTCATCCCTTTAAATTATTACATGTTTAGAAATTATTTTTAAACTCTACAAAAGCAACCAGGCAAGGATGAAGTTTTAGTGCTACAGTGACTTCTGCAACTGTTACACTGATTTGTTCAGCATCTCCTCTTTGAATACGATCAACAGAGAGATTCTGTTGGATCTAAAACAATACGGCACACAGAACTAAGCGACAAAGAGATAGGAACCTTGTACCGATCTGACTCATCATCATTTAACTTTTTTACAAGACTTCTGCATGCACTGTACAGAAAATTAGAACATTAAAATGAAAGAAAGGGGGTTGGTGGTGGTCAGGTAGAGTTAGAAAGCATGTTTCTTCTTTAAAGATAAATGTGAAGAAGTACCAAGTGATTAATTTGCAGTAACAAAGGGCGAATTCAAACATGACCATAGAAGCAAATTGTCTTTAAAAAGGGCAGGACAAATGACTAACAGTGTAAACGGGCAAGTCTCTTTTAACAAGTTAGTTGTGCTTATAAATGTAGACCCATTTTTCAGAACGCGCATGGCAAAACTCAAAAATTTCAGCCAGTTAAGCAAGACCCACCAGCCAGAAACATTAAATTCTGAAATACAATTTACAAGGAACCTGTTTCAGACAAAGAATAAAGTGCACTGTCATGAGATGCTGGTGTGAAACAATTCACATGTCTGTTCATACAGTGTTTTAAAAAATTTCTCTGCTCTTCTGGAAACAGATACCACAGGGAACTTTGCCAAGAAATATTGCAGACAGTGAGAGAACTTCAGAGAAACCCAGAAAAATCAGAAGCAATTTCAATACACTGATAATTCTGGAGAATACTCTTAACATAAAAACAATACAGAGACTAGAACTTTATTTAGCTGTTTTATAAAAGCCGTAGAGTCAGTGGTTGGGATTTATACTACTTGCTTTGGGAAGCAGATGAGGAAGGCAATGCAACATATATAATGTGTCCACATGGGGCTTTTTTTTTTTTTTTAATGCAACCAATTAAGTCATGACTCATCAGGTATAATCAGACTTTACAACAGAATAAAATGAGGAATAAAGCACATGTTTAAAATCTAGCATAGCAGACTCTGGAGAAGATTCAATGGCTTACATACCCAGGTCTTAAATACGTCTTGAACCAAGCTTCTTAAGCTGAAGCAAGCTTTCATATGAAAGGAATGTGAACCTTTAGTATTTGGTCTGAAAAAACCTGCCCAAAAAGCTACTACAATTTGCACTGAGAAATTTTTGGGATGAAAGTTGTCTTCTGTCATATCTCATCCTTTACTAGAAGAATGTATTTAGTCAGTGTGAGAAATTCTGAAACTGAGTCAGCTCAAGTATCATTAGCTAAAGGTGACTCAGACTCTTCTAAAATGGTGCTTCCTCAGCTGCAGTACAGTACTACAGAGGCAGATTTGAACAGGAGTGTTACTAACCTGAGATTTATATTGGGAAAGCAAGCAGCACAGACAACGGAAAAACAGTATCATGAGGTCCTGTTTATTCTATAACACTTAGGCTTCAGAGCTTTGAACGTTTTCAGTGCATTAAAAAAACAAACAAACAAAAAAAATATTTTCTGGGGGTCATACAGTTTCTTCTTTCAAGTGGTATGACTGTCAGTGAGCTCCGAGGTAACTCACTAGATTTGTCATCAATTTTATTTACTTCAGAAATGGCAAATATATGACAAGCATGATCTGAAATTATCCAGTGCCACAGTTTTCCAACATTTCTAACCGTAACAACACACCTATGGTTATTCTGACTCTGGAATTGAGTCAGTAAAATTTAGCTTTCCCTTTGTCTCACTCTCCAAAAATGAACATTTTTTGCATAATATATATTTACATTTACAGCAGTTGCAAGCAAACTCACATGCTAATGATTAAAAAAATCAAGCCGACATTTTATTACATTGAGATTTCTTACTGACTGACAATAACTGTCAACAGAAGTGAAATAAGCTGGTAAAGCTGGAAAGCTTGCATAGTTATTTTTAAAAAAGGGATTGAGAAAGGTAGTATAGGTGACAAGTTGAAAAAAAATTAAAGAATCATTCACCTAAAAATAAGGACAGTACAAAAATAATTAACAGAACTACATTCAGGTATCCAAGGCCACCTCTCCATGAAGAGAAGGCAGTAAAAAGCCAGCACAGAAGAATGATGCAACTTAAATTCTTTCACATCTATTTCAAAGAGGAACTTGAAAGTTTGTTTATCTTCTGTTCACTGATAAAGTTGTTCCAGCCACCGATTAAGGAGAGGGACTGAACCTGTCAAACTGTGAGCCATCTAGTCCAACAGTATCACACTCCTATTAAAAATATACACATTTATAAAAATAAAGTTAACAGAAATTAATCGTACAGTCTGAGGTCCTAATTCTGCCATTTGTAACAAAAAGGCCCTAGACAAAACTGGGGTCTATGAGGTGAGATTCTGTGCAGGGACAAGAATTAGGCCACGTATTCAGTTTGTAAAACTGGGGCCTAAGCTTCTCTTTATAACAAGATTAGCTAGGCAAGTCAGTCTGAGATAATTTGAGTTTACTGTTTTTACAGTACTGGAACAGCCACACAAAAAAGTAACAAAAAAAAAAAAGACAATAACATTTTGTGACAGAAGAATTAAATACAAGAACCAATTAAAAAAAAACATTGTAAGACCAGTCTACTTTTTAGGCAACAACTTACACAGCTAGACTGGAGAGACATAGTCATTGCTCATTAGAAACAGAATATGCAAAGGCTTAAAAATTTATTTTTATCATATACAATATATTGCAGCATATATGCATAAACTCCAGCTGTTCATCAGCATGACGGAAAACATCAGATTAGAAATCTAACAATTCAAGACATAAACACGTTTTTGAAGCAGTATTTCTGCACCTTTGTAAATTGGTGAACAAGCTTCCACTTTTGTAAGCAGCACTGATGACATGCTATTAGTGTACAGAAGTATCTTCATTTACATTTCCTCAAGGCTCCTCTTGATAGCTTCTTCTAATTCTACATCTCGCTCTGTATGAATATAAACAAATATTTGTAAGTTTGTTTCTAAAAGGAAAATATTACCTGGTCATAAAAACAAAGAATTTTTGAAATCAAAATGACGCAGCAAGCTATAATTGCAGATATCTGCTTGCATCAACGTGGTCAATAAGCCACTAAATATGCGCAAGAATCAAGAATAAGGTCCCAGACTGTGGTACACTATTGCTAATGGCCCACTGTCCACTCCGCAGTGATACCTGGGCTGTCTTGTCAAAGCAGCTTTTTCATCTCCTCCACCCACTTTTGCTTTCTCCTCTTTGAACAGTTGCTATGGCCCTTTCCTCCTTACCCCTTTTTGGGGTTACTTTGCCTCCTCATTCCCTCTTACTCCCATCCCAGGACTACAGCTGGCCACACGTATGGCTAGCTCAACACGTATGGCTAGCGGAAGCCAGGCTGGCTCCATAGGGTCAGATGTCCTCCCTACAATACAGAGGCATCAGAACTGGGACCTCTCGTACACATCAAATGCCACTGCTGTCACTAACGGCAACACCCAGTGCTAGGGGCATCTGAGTGCGGCAAACTTCTAGTACTGTAAATGAATACACTGGACCTTTAACAGCAATGTTTAGTAACAGTTAGTAAATCTAACTGAATATATTCGGGGGACATATGATTTAGTTATCTTAGTTTTAATCACTGAACTTGTACAAAGCGTCTAATGATTTTTTAGTTCTTTATACTTCCATCAGGTGGGAGGGGAGGGTCAAGCTTTGAGCAATACGTTATTTTCAAAGAACATCATAGTATGTCAGCAAAAATAAATCACTACATGGTAAAACGCCACCACTAAAAGCACAACAGCAAAAGGATGAGAATAATTTCAAATAAGGTAAAATATGGTGTGAGCAGATAGCTGTACTGTTGATTTAAACTTGTGCATAAATCTACAGCTCCCTTTTGGCAGACCAGAGGGCCTTGGTGAGATATAAAACCTAATTTTGAACTATTTATTCAGAGGTTCAATAGAAGTTCTACTGGAGTCAACAGAGTCACATTAAGTGGGTATGAAGTGAGCTCAGCCAAGTCCTTAATTCCTGTGGTGCATCAATACAAATAGATTTTGAGTCTGCTGGCATTGTTTTCAGGCTAGCAAATTATTTTTTCTTTTTAACTCATCACAGTGTTCTTAACTGCTTAGGGCTGCCCAGTAATATACGAAAATAGTATTTTAGAGAGTATTTTAGAGATGTCTCTGGCCATGAAAATTACCTAAAATTTAATCTCTATCTTTTCTATTAATAGCCCTCCTGCAAACAGAGGAAAAGTAGAAACTAGCACCCACCTTCCTGTTTCTTTGTTTCTTCTAAACTCCTTTTTACTGTCAGTTTGATATCTTCATCCTCTTCACTGTCTGAAACTTAAACACACAAATTAAACATATATTATACAGTGCCTCCAAAACAACATTAACAGTCATCTCGTACAATTCTCTTCCTATAAGGAGACTGTAGGTCGGTTTTGAAGAACTGCACTTGTGACCTGAAAATCAAGATAAAATATATTATAATAGATCAAGACAGTAACTCAAGAGAGAGTTTTTTGAACAACCCTCTTTCCTTTCTCCCCCAAATCCAGAAGCAGGCTATTTCAATTTTATACTATTTTAAAGTATAACAACAAATAATAGTTGCAGAAGCTAGTGTTACCCTATTTATCGCTTTATAATATTTAGTTATTGAAAAAAAAAGGGATTACTCACTTCCTACAGATTGCCAAGGATTTCATTATGGGGTGAACTACTATAACGTGAATGCTGCCTACATGTGACATTAGCTAGGTTTTGCTGCATAAGTACCTATCCATTTTGAACAAGAGTACTATACCTCTATTTACTAACTTGAGCACTGCAATTCAGCAGATGTTGTTCAGTTCTTACAAAAAGAAAAAAGTGGATGCACTTAATTCAATCTGCTAATTCATCATAATCAAGCCTAGCTGAAACTCAGTCACCTTTCCTGTTCTAAATAACGCTCTTCATGAGGCTGACACCTCCAGAATGACACTTGCCTTTTGAAGTGCCTAACAGGCACTGGTGCGTGTTTTAATTTGTTTCAAATGGACTCTCAGTAAACTACAGGTAAAAGAAATGAACAAGTCCATTAGTTACATCTTGTATTTATTCTCCTGCTGGAGGTTAATTGGTATTTTGGCAGATAGTCTCTGCAATAAGGGCTTAAAATATTCACAATGAATTAGGTCTCCCAGGGTCAGGGCAACAGGAGAAGCATTTCCCTTGAAGTTGTTACCTTCATTAACATACCAATGTACTTCTGCTTATGTTTAGAGGCAAAAAATATCTGGATACGAACATCTAAATTATGGATTACGTTACTTAAGGCATTTTAAAGGACTGAAGTTAGGTATTCAAAGTGACAGGTACACTTTCTAAATTTTGTCTTCAAGCTTATAATGCATATACCTTGCTTGAATAGCAACGTTACTGACTCCTTCCTAATTCCAGGAATACAAACTCCAATAGCTGGTATCAAATAGAGATCAGGAGCCCACAAAGATGCCAGTAATAGCTGGATTTATATTGCAGTTGAAATGCTCTTTCTCTAGCCACTTGGCAGACTCACAATGAACCCTTTTTGGAGCTGCCCACTATCTCTAGGTAGAAGAGCTACCTTCCTGTATATCTTATTTCAAGCACATAAAGCAACAAAAAAAGATAAACCTACACAAACCCAAACAAACCTAGTCACATCAATGTAATTATACCACTATCATAAGATGGGGAACACATTCATTTTGTACCAGAGATATGTGCAAATGGGCATACAGAACATTTAAATATTTTTAAAACAAACTGCCTGTCCTGTGATTTATCACATCTGCGATGCAATAACTGAACACTACTTGACAGTTACATCAAGGAGAACAGGTTTGCTTGAACACTATAGCATTGAAGAGGGTTTAAGCACGTCTATTTCATTTGTGCATATAGTTTGCAAGCCTCTAGCAATGAAAGCACAGCTCACACTCAGTTGGTGGTAGCTGTCCAGTCGTACCAATTCATACAATACATTAACTACAAGTTGACACTGGCTAAGATAAATTCAATCAGAAGAGCTTGAAGAAACCAGGAAACTTGAAAACACAAGATGATCTTCTACTTAGTTTGAGGGGAAAAAGTTCATCTCAGAGTCAAATATAAAGCATGTTAAAAGTCTCTTTAGCTACACCTTGCACCCAATGATCTACAGTTATTATTTGCAAGACTTTTTCTCCTCTCTACCTAACTGTACTAATGTGTATTCCACTTCCCAAGAAGGCAGATGCTGGATTTTTTGAAATCTTTGAGCTGGTGAAAGTTAATCTACTAAGAGATCAGAAAACATCCATATCTTATTCCGGACTTTTTTGGGCAAAAGCTTGTATCTCAGACTGCATTGACTTTCTTTTTCCAAAATCAAAAGGCTGCTAATGCTTGTCATAATGCCCTCCTCTGCCACACACACACACACACACACACACACACACACACAAAAAAAGCAAAGATTAAAGGTGTCATGCCAGGTGTCTGGTAAGGCAGGAACAAAAGCAGTAAGGATTCCATGCCAGAAAAAGTTATGATGTTCTGATATGGTTTTATGGCAATCCGGAGTAAGACTAACAACCAGGAGTAGGTCTGTCAGCAAACAACCTAAGCAGAAACATTTCAACAAATAAGGAGTAAAAAAAAAAAAAAATTTACTTCCTTTAGGCACTAGACAGCAAGAACTATAGCATGGAACTCACTTGCCAGCCAAAGAGAAGGAAGGGTCAACTGACCAAAGAGATAGATTTTAAAACCACGCGACACCAGTCTGATATTCCTCATTAGACAGGTCATTGTGTTTCATCTAATATTGCTCGTGATCAAACTCAGCTTTCAAGGAGATCTTGGATTCTAATAAGAATGTACCCCATGCAAATATACTCCTAGTACTGCTGGCATCTTCTGAAGAGGAAGAGTAAATGAGAATATTTGACTTGCAGAAATCAGACATGTCCTGTTTCTCTTGTTTTGAACGCTTAGCAAACTCTGCAGCGCCCAACTCTTCTGGAGTCAGACAGAGAAGGAGTAATTGCCCAATTTCTCAGCCAGGAGACGTCAAGATACGGCCTCTTCTCTAGTACAGTCTATAAAATATGCAACAGCTAAGAAGCTCTGACTTAGCCTATTCTCTCAAAGAGGCACCATTGCTCACTATAGTCCTAATATACTGCCAAATTTCTGCTGGGGGTAAAAAATGAAATAAAATCAAAAAACATAGCAAACAAAACAGTGAGGAAAATTCTAGAGCTCAAAGATCAGGAAGATTTAACCTTACAGATAGGAGCAAATATGCTACTTTTCTCTGAGAGATACATGACAGTGATATTTAAAGAGTCTCAGAAACCTATTTTGGAGAAGGGACTGGTAAACTTGCACAGAATGCAAGCGCCACCCACCGTCCTGACATCAAAGTGCCACAACTTTAATTTAGATTAGCAATCCACGTTAGCGCAACCTAATTCCCCGCCTACTACTTTCCCTCTGCTCTTGCAGCCTCCCTAGTTACTACCATCCCCTTAAGAATTTCCAAGTCTACAGCTTCCTCTGTCTCTCTAAAGGCTGAGTTTCCCTTCCCCCGTCTTAGTCCTCCTCCCTTGCTGATGAACTTAGTAAGGTACTTCCAGGCTGTTCTTCAGGTCCTGCAGCCTCCTACCTTACCCACATGCTTTCTCCTTTTCAGTAGCTCCCAGTCTCATCTGTCTGTCTCCCATCCCAGTGTGTGACATTAGCATTTCACTCAGCTCACTGTCTCTCCAGTTACTGCCCCACTTCCTTTAACAAGTGATGTCTCAAGTTTTTCAGAGGTATCCTACTTTAAAGATACTGTGAAAGTTACTTCATTCAGTGACCACTTAGCCCAAAACTTAGGATCAGAACTCTATCCTTATCTTCCTTGATTTCTTAGTTATGTTCAGTATACGTCATCACATTACCTTTAAAATATTCCTCTCTGTCTTAAATAATCCTTTTCTTTATTCCTTTTTCAATAAGTGCTTGGAGCATCCTCCAAATTTTTATTGCATTACTTATTGCCCTGATCTCTGTTTCTTCATTACGTAACTTCATCTGTAAATGCAAGTGCAGCCATCCCCTGCTGAGGCTCACAAATACACATGACCTCTCTTCTTCCACCCAAACTAAAGCTTCATCCTATGCATCTCTCTGAGGATGTTTATTCGCCTGTTCATTCAAGTGTAGCATGACTAAAAATAGAGATCTCAAGCTCTCCTCCTCCTCCCATGACATTTTGTGATAACTGTGGTCAATAAAATGAAAGTCTGAGTGACCATCATGTAGCCTTCATTTTAGACAGCTCTCTAAAAATTCACAGGCAGGTTAAGTTACACCTTGCAGGTGTTTTTGTATGATCTGGCTGATGAGGTCTCCCCAGTTCATCCACTTGGCTAAAATTCTTCTGCAGACTCATTATCTTATGCCTTAATACACTGCTTTCTCCCTGAGGCATATATACCTATATTCAAACATACCCAGAGGAGATGTCACTGACATACCAAAGCTAATAACAACTTTCTCTTGCAGCTAAACACAGAGAGGTGACTTTCTTATCACTCCCTATAGCAACATGCTACAGCTATTGTAGTAACTGTGTAAAGAAAGCAGTAGAAACTTATTAGCGTAATTGTAGTTCTTTCAGGGTGCAGCTAGCGTGCATTACATTACAGATGCTCATGCCCTTCATGCTCAGTCTGTTTGGACAGCAGGAGCTGCAGGCTATCTTTAGCCCTTTGCAGTCTGATGCCTGTTGTCAGCTGAAGGTTTGGAAAAGCAGAGATTGGGGTCAGGTGTGCTATCCATACTGGACCACAACACCCACAAAAACCCTGGCTGCTGAGAAAGTAAGCAATTCTTCTTAATTCCTTCTGTAAATTAATTTTTCTTAAATTTTTCTGTTGTCTGTATGTAAACCAAAAGCTCTCGAGGATAGTGGGAGCCAGGAAACTTGGGTGCATTTGTCAAAATGAACTAGAATACCGTTCTTTCAAATATGAACTGTCATAGAAGATAAATTCAGTGATACTTAAAACACTGTATGTAATAGGAGTAGATTGAAGAAACAGGCTGAGAATTCTACTCAAGCATGACAGAAATGAACCTTATGGGTCAGTGCAAGAGGTGCAGTGGCTATATGACAGACAACATAGGACATCACCATGCAATTAATGCAGTCTCATGAAGCAGCCTGGCCCCTTAAAGAAAGGGGAGGAATTATTCTGAAAAATTAGGTCATTTTTTCATATGTATATTAAAAAAATACGTTTTATCTAAGAGCTTGGCTAATTAAATATCTCATTTGAATATGACTTTGTGAAAAACATAGTTAAGTTAAAGCCCTCAACTCACAAAATTCACTTCTGTCAATCCAGCAGTTCAGGCACTCATATTGGTGTCAGCGTGGGCATGATGACCCCTAACCTACCATCAGGTTTGCCCTCAGCACTGTTGAAATCATGTGCCCTGCCTACAGCATAAAAGAAAAAAAAAATTTTTTTGTAGTTAAAAACTT